TTTTGGAAGCAAAGAGACTTATTAAAGAAACACTAAAATTATAAACCAGAAACCGATTAATACAGGTGAATCAATTAGCTAGATAGACTGAATCCAAAACCTCTACTCAGAGGTAACTTAGTGCTAACAACACAAATCAAACACAAACTAAACAACTACCAAACTTTCAAGAGTAACACAATCTAATAAAGAGACTAAAAAAGCAACAAAATTAAATAAAAATACACAATAGAAAATAATACAATAAAGTAAAAACAAAGTCTAGCCCTTCAATCTAACCCGTCACTGCCACCACGTCCATAACATGTTCATTTTGTAACATAACATGTTCATTTGTGGCACACCTAGCTAGGTGTACCTAGACACACCTAAGTATTTGCGCGTCCACAATCCCTAAGTCACTGACATCCACCCTCAAACAAGTCACCAACAGAGCTGATCCAGAAATTTGCATGAGTGGGGCCTAAATTATTTTTGGAACCCAACTATCTCAATTATAAAATGAAAATGCGATTGTATATAAAAAATTCAAAAGTCTTGTCTCTTCTTAAAATTGAAATGAAAAAAAAAGGAGATAGATTTTAAATTATAAATGAATACAAGACAAAAACATAATAATTAAAATTGATGTGATTTAATGCTCGGTGGAAATAGGCTAGTAAATTAATAATTTTTTATGAAAATATATTTTTCATATTATTATTATTATTATTATTATTATTATTATTATTATTATTATTATTATTATTATTATTATTATTATTTTTGGTTATTTCATAGGTTCAATAGGTTAAATCTTGATAGAATGAAAGAAATGAAAACAAATCTTATATTCCATCGGTGTTCTCTTTTTCTTTTGTTTAATTTCTCAAAATAGTAGATTAACTATTTAAGTCATAAATATAATTTAAAGGGATTTATGTGGAGGTATATATATTTATACAAATTATTAATTCAATTAAAAAATTTGGAATTAAATTAACGATGTACAAGAATGAATTAACACAAATAAGAAATATTTGTAAATTGTTCTTACTACAAGTTACATTAAGTAATTAATCAAGTATATATCAAAGTTCAAATCTAACCAAAATCGGATAAATAATGTTGATTTCTAAAATAAAAAAAATAATAATAATTGATGATTGAGAGAAAAAAATTCGGTCATTTTATACCTTAGAGATAGGTAACAGTTGTATTGTTCAGTATATCTTCCCTAATACACGCAATTGTAAATTTTTCAATATCCTAAAATTAGATACTATTTAAACAATTTCTTGAAAAAATCAGAGTGGGCCTCGGCCCACACTGATCCCTTAATGGATCCACCCCGAGAAACTCAAAGGTAAACACCAACACACTTAAATGTCATTTATATGTATATAATTGTTGGCTATGTAATTAATGCATAACCTACTTTTCCTGTCCAAACCATTTTGGGCTTAATAAGGTAACTTTTCATTAATTAAGTTTAATCATATCCTATTGATTATTTATTATACAATAGTTATTACTAAAATTAACGAATTAATTTTAAGTAAGTTACATAATCATAAAAAACTAGTATTCGACCATGTGCATTTGCACAGATGTAAATAAAGTATCATAAATTACTTGTATGCATATAATTTTAAAATTATAAATTAGATAATGATATTATATTTTAAACATAGAGTATTATAAGATATATTTATGCATATAATATTAAAATTATAAGTTAGATAAATGTATTATGTTTATAAATTCGATTAATGGTTAATATATATAATACATAACGATTTAATTGCATATGAATCACTATATCGATTGCATAAAATATAATAAAAAATGTAATTTTATAATTTTGAGGGATCAAGACCAATTAATTAGCTAAAAAATGTTAAATTATTATAACAATTGCATATGCGATTTTAAGGAATTTTACTATGATACTAAAACAAATTAATTTATTTAGAACACAATCGCTTAATTAGATAAAAAAATATGATATTAATTTTAAAATAAATAACTTAAACAAAAAGTTTTTACAATATAATTTTATGTTTATTTAACTTCCATATATCATATATAGTGTAAATTATAATTATTAATTTTTTTTTCCCAAAACGATAGATTATATTATAAATCAAAATGCACAAATGTGCGAATACACAGCAGCCAACGACTGAATATACAGCAGTCAACAACTGAAAAAGTGGGAGGACAGGTCAGAAGACCGCCTAGAGTCCCGGCTAGCAGCGCTAGAATAAAACTCGCAACTAAAACTAACCAACTAAAACAACTAAAACAACTAACAACAACTAAAAGACCCCAACTGTCGGATCCCAATGGGATAATAAGGTGACACTCGGGTTCACAGATGCCAAATGGCCCAGACCAAAAACAAAATCCTAAAGAAATTAAAAACTGAAACACAACCTAACAGCTAATAAAGAAAACATAAACATAAACATACAACCTCCCCCAAGAGATAAATCTAGATTGACGGCAGACAAACCAACCCCAACAACGGCCCCAAGCACGAAAACAACTGCCCGCCACTGCGAAAAGCCTAGCAAGACGGGTACCCGCACCCCTGAACTAATCGAAGATCTGACCCGCACTCCAATCACGTGAAGAAACCTACACGGCTCGACTTCACCGATTCAGCCCGCCTGAAACAGCAACCCATTCTTCCCAGCCCGGAGCGGTTGAACGCAACTAAACAGCCGAGCACAAGCCAGAAGCGGCATCCGATCCCAGCAGTAACTACGACCCCCCAATCATGAACCTTCAATTCCAACTCGCCAAGGAAGAACCGAGAGGTCCCTCCGACCGCGGACAAAATAAAAACCGAGACAAAAGCAGCAAAAACAAGGGAAAACCTCCAATTGACATAGCTAAATGTCGAGCAGGAAGCGGCCCCGGCCAATCGCCGCTTTGCCGGCGGAAAAGCACAGGTCCAGACCGGCGGCCAGAAAGGCGAGCGAGATGAATAGACGGCGTCCCAGCCAGAGCCAAGTGCAGCAAACCCAGCCTCGTCCATGAACCAGCACCACACCCGACCAACGCCGACGACAACTGAACTCCGGCGCACAACCAGAACAGAAAATCTTCTCTGATGGCGACGCACAGAACAGATCCCAGCTACAGCAACTGAGATGAGGGTTTGCGCCTCCATGGACGAGCGATGGAGGCCGTCCACCGGCGGACCCGGATTTCCGGCGAGGGAGTTTCAATCGGAGAGATTAAAGGACTAGGGTTTCGGCGATTTTATTTAAATATGACATTTTACAACAAAAAATTTTATAATTATTAATTTTAATAATAACAATTATATAATACAATAAAAAAATATAATTATTAGTCAATTAATATAAAATATAACATTTTAATCAACTAATTGTAATTCACACTAAATGGTATATATAAGTTATATAATCATAAGAATTTATATTGCATTTTTTTCAAGCTATTTATTCTAAAAATAATATTAGTTTTTTAATCATATAATTAATTTAATAGCATGAAAAATACCCTTAAACAATTTATGTAATAAATATTATTGTTTCAATATTTTTCTAGGTAATTAATTGGTCATGATTAATCAAAGTAACACAAAAATAAGTATGTATTACACATTATGCAATCAATATATAAATTCTTTTGTAGTTAAATAATTTATATTTATATTGTTCATTTACTACTAATCAAATTTAAAAAATGTGATATATACATTATCTATTTTATAATTTTAATACTATATGCACATATAATTTATAATACTTTAATATTTATATCTGTACATGTGCACAGGATCAGCTACTAATTCATCCTAAAGACGAAGTAAAAACCCGATATATGAAGCCAACAAATCCATGTAGTTCAACTCACTCAAATGGCTAGTCAACTAAGAAGAAAAGGCCCAAATCTAACCCTGAAAGGGTCATCATCAAAGGATCGAAGGAAAACCGCATCCCTAAGAGATGCCGATGCTGACCTCAACCGGCCCCTGGAAGAGTTTTGACGACAGCCCTGCCCATGGTCGGACAGACCAGCTGGAGGCAAGCCGGAAAATAAGAGGTAGAGAGGGAGATGAAGGTTGCTTTTTTCTTTCAGAGTGAGGGAGGGAGAAAAAGGGCAAATTGGGGACTCCGGCAACTGTTTCACTTGGACACAAAAAGAAAAATGGAAAAAATCTCTAATTCAACTTATATTTACTTTCTGACGTTGTATTCAGTTTCAGGTAGTCAAAATATATATTTATTATACACTTGCACAACAGCGCACCCAAACAGCTAACTTATAATACCAAAGAACTAGACAAATAATAGTAATACAAGTATACAACAGATAAAAATGTAAATCCAGAAATCCACGAGATTATTTATTATTAATATAAACATCTAAATACCCCACAGATTGTCCTGATTCAAGAGTAGCACTATTACATTAGCTTCTATTAGAGATACCAAATAACTTAAAAGGTTGCCTTGTTTTCTGATGCATGTATCCACAAATCCAGAAGCTGCAGCATAGAGATTAGTACCAAAGATTCTTTGACGATGTTTTTTCGGCCAAGAAATCTCCATAGGGAACCCACTTCTTCGGAAATGCAAGATCATAGTCTCGCAAGGCCTTAAACCTGGCAGCTCGCACAACATCCTTACGGCATTCATGGGAGCAGTGGTCTGTATGACACATGCAAATGCAACAGTACTTGAGCCTAAGTTTGGCTACTTTCCCATGACACCAGGTACAAGCCCACTTCTCCTCATCAAATTCACCACCGTCATCAAGGGCGCAAACTGCTGTAAATCTAACCCGGTTATAGTCAGCCCCTTGCGGCAAAATGCGTTCGTAAGGGCAGGTCCAATTTCGATGAGTCTTATTACAAATTGTACAGAGGATAACAGGGCAAGCTTGCTGAGGAAGATGCTCTAAACAACACTTGCTGCATAACTCAGGTGGGCTCTCGTCTTTGGCTATGTCATGGAAACTATAAACTGGAGTGTGTGGAACGTATGGGTGTAGCAATGGACGAACCTGTGGAATATAGGAGGGTACTAGTTTGCTCTCCACCTTGTTGTTTCCTGTTCAGTTAAATTATTAGAACAATAAAACAGTACATCCTCAAAGAATAATAACCTTCACAATCAATTCTAGGAAGTAGAATATCAATCACCATTGGATCACTTAGATTGCCAAATAGTATTCTAGGAACAAATCTGACCTAAGAGTGACTTGATTATTACAATCTAATTGCACAAATTCGAAATAAGCACCACAGAGTAGAGAAAGAAATATTGGAACTATTATTTAACCGGAACAACGACCACTGTCAGCAACCAAAATCAACAAGATCAATTCCAGATGTTTGCTGGTTAGACGGAACATGAAACTGAAGGGAATCGTGATAATGAGATCATATGGGGCATATGTACCACAACAACACAACTAAAACTGAATCATCATCTGAGAAAGAGAAACAAACTCGATCCTAAAGAATAAATTTCACACCAAAGAAGAATTTGAACGGAAATTCCATACCGGTAGAAGCGGCTTTGGTTGATGACAGGGTTTCAAGGGAGATGGAACTGCGTGATTTCCTCGTACCTGATATATTCTCAATTAGCAATAACGTTATAAATCAAGTCGTTCCGGACCACAGGAAAAGGGAAGATATTTCATACCCGGAAAAAAGGTGCCGACACTCTCAAGGCAGCTAGCTAGGTCTTTCAGAGAGATAGATCTACCCAATTTAGTTATACCTGACCAAAAAAAAACTCGGATTAACAGCAATAACGTTCAGATCTGTGGGAGAAATAACATAAGACCCTAAAAAGAGAGAGAGAGAGAGAGAGAGAGAGAGAGAGAGAACACGAAAGACAACCTCGTTCGAAATTAGGTTATTTAAACGAGATTTCATATTCATACCGGTGGTGGGAGGGCGGCCGAGATTTTCAAAGGATGTCGCAAGGTTTTGCACATCTTCCACCTCCGTACAAGACATACCTATGGCTCAGTTATGCAATGGGCATTATTATTTACCGCCCCTTATTACTATGTACCGCCCCTTTTGGACATTTTTGCCCCTGTCATTTTTTTTCAAAAAGTGAAAAAAA